TGTCCATATATCTCCTATTATCTACTATAATTTCTAATATCTCATATTATTTTTATATCCCACAATTATCTCATATTATTATGTAATCTGTAGATTATACTACAAGTGTAAAGTTGTGTCTATAAATAGAGGCCCTGTAAAAGGTAATAAGCACATTTGAATAGAATGAGAAGTACTCTCTCTTGTTGATCCTTTTTTCTTTTATATGATTCTTATCTATTTCTTCTTTATTTATAACAAAAGTATTATTATTAGTTTAAGATGAATGAACAAACTGTCCTAAAAATTGATATAATAAAATAAAACAATTACTAGATATTTATGAAATATTGCAAAACCAACTGATATAAAGAAACTTTTCAAACCTCAATGAGATTGTTTTAAAAAAAAGGTGTTTCAAATTTCAATATGTATCGGTATACTCTTCCATGCTTACCAGGTCAATGGTTTTGTTTTTTCTTGAGGTTATTAGTTGCATTCAAATTGATAGATGCCGCCCAAAAAAAATGTCAATGTCTTCTTATTGCAATAGGATAATTTATTAACAAAATAATAAAAAAATCGTAATATAAAAAAAAATAAATATGCAATGAGAGTGACTAAATTGTTTGTTCCTCGTTGATTCCACAACCAAAAAAAACGACGGAAAGCGTACCATAGTGCATATGACTATATGAGAAGTGGGGTGTGGTTGCCCACTTTGGAATGTGCCCAATTTTGCGCGTTCGCTGATATCACGATGGGAAGACCAACCAGGAGGAGACACGTGGGAGAGTGCCAGATTGGGCGCAACACGATGTGGGGCCCGCTTGAGCTGTCGTCCGCACATTGGTCGGTCCCACCTGAAGCATCCTATTAGTGTTTCATTGAATTCGATGAGTTATTTTGGCTTCGCTTCTGATACAAGCTGTGAGCCGCGTTATAATTCATTGACCAATTCCCCTCAAGCTGTGAGCTTGTTCTGGTTTAAATGTTTAGTAAACGATTAAACCCACACGCTTCACGCTGATTTTGACTTTTTTTTTTTTTTATGTTTTTTAATTTTTAATTTTTTTAATTTTTACTTCCAGCTCAATTTCCCCCTTTATTGCATTCATTAGTAACTGCAATTAGATGGCTTTTTTTTTTTGGTCAAAACAAATTAGATGGGTTGATTTCCCCTTTTATATAAGATTTTAATTATGAAAAAGACTTTTTCAATCTTGTAACTCTAATACCGTTAATTTCAAATTATGATTTTTTGTTTCAATTATTGTTATTTTAAAATAGTAAAATTAATATGTTTGTATTTGAGAATGACTTATTAAAATTTAAAATTTTAATGGTGATTTTTTTGGGCTAGCTAGTAGTGTTTTAGGGTTAGAGAATTAAAAATATTTTATAAAATTAAAGGATTAAATTGAAATTACGTACCAAATTAAAAAATTAAATATATATTTGGGACAATAACAAAAAAAGAATCTGGAATTTTGCAAATGCCAAATAAGGAATATCAACAAAAATTTATTGTCATTTACAAATTTAGATTTGTCAATACCAACCAAAGTTGTATTACCAAACATAATTTAGGATTTACAATTTCCCGCTTCTTTTTCTGTTATTCTCCCTATATATTTTTATGGTTGATATTTTAATACAAGACTTCTAGGAAATAGAATCCATGAAACTTAGTAAGTACACGGTATATGATATTTTCTAATTGAGAAAATTAGTTAAATATTACAAAAATTTGTAACTTTCCAAACTTACTCTTCATCAAATTAAATTTCATGATTTCAAATGACTTGGCTTGAACTTTGAGCCATAAATTAATGAATTAATGGTAATTTATTCTAAAATATTCCTAAAAATAAAAATAGATTTAAGAATAAATAAAACTAGTAAAAATTAATTGTGTGAAACATGGAGCCACCTGGCTCTCAAATGATAATTAAACATGATTATAATAAAATTTTGACGCTATATCTAATTAATAATCAAATGTTTGAATATTATAGAACTCAAGCTTTTAAATTCTGACATTTTTCACCCAGTTCTATTAAATTGATCATTTCTCACCTTTTTGTGTAGTGAAGTGATATGATAATAATTCACAAGTTTACACCGAAAATAATTGGTCAAAAAAATCACACCGAAAAAATGATTGATGACGGAATGGAAGCAAGCTCACGCCATGAGTTGTGCGCCCCACTAATCTTTTGCCTGCAATGGATAATATTAACATATAAATTGTGTTTACGCGATATAAAATTTAGATATTACTTAATATAAAGCATATTTAATTAATTTGGTTAGATTTAAAAAGTTATATATAAGTTAGTTAATTATAAAAAATATGACATATTAATTTAGATATTACTTAATGTAAGACATATTTAACTAATTTAATTATATTAAGAAAGTTAGGTAAGTTAGTTAATCATAAAAAATATGACATGCTTTTCCTAAAATACTATAATTATCTTCTTTAATATCCTCTCTTCTTCTCCTACTTGATTATAGTTGAAAGAATATCAATAAATATAATTTAGAAAAAATAATAAATATAAGAAATATGTCTTACATTTAATATAAAGATCAGCTTAATAATTAGATCCCATATTAAGAACTAGAGGAGTACCTAGTTTTGATCTGAAATTCATATCTTAAATAAGTGGATTAATATCATTTTTAGCTTTTAAAATTTAATCTTATTTTGATTTCTATCTTTAAAATTTGAAATCAGTGGTTTTGATTATCAAAATTTAACCCATTTTGGTCCTCTTAAATACTTTGGTCTGTGAAACTGTTTTTAATAAAGTTTCAGGGAGCAAAACTACTAGTTTCAAATTTAAGACATAAAAAAAAAAGACTAAATTTTAGAGACTAATAATAATATCAATTTTAAAATAAATCTTGCCCTTGATTTGGATGAAATATTGAGCACATATTAGTTTTAGAGGATTTTTTCAATAATTAGCATTTTAATGTTTAATATTCAAATCCCAACATATTATCGAAAATTAAAATTTTCAGTAATTAAAATAGTGTTGTGCACTAGTCTTCCATGTTGGATTCTTTCCTTTGTGTGCCCCTGCAGCTTGCATTTGTCATTGACTCTTTCTTTGAGATCATTTGGTCATCCACTCTTGAGTAAAACAAAAGGTGACATTGACCATTGAATGTATATTTTATTTTTTTTAATATTTAAGAAATAAACTGTATTTTAATTTTTAGTAATTACTTTGAAATAGTGCAACTTGTTTAAATTTTTATACCATATATAGATTTCAATTATAAGATAAATAATACTCTTCCAGTTCTTAATATAAGACTTATTTAACTAATTTGATTAGATTAAGAAAGTTAGGTAAGTTAGTTAATTATAAGAAAGTGATACATTTTTCTTAAAACATCATAATCATCTTTCTTAATACTTTCTCTCCCTCTTCTACTTAATTATGGTTGAGGGAGTATCCATAGAGGTAATTTAGAGAAAATTGATAAATACTCCTCCGGTCCTAAATGTAAGACCCTAAGGGTCTTACATTTAGGACCGGAGGAGTATGAGAAATGAGTCTTATATTTAAGACTAAAACTAATTTAACAATTAAGTCCTATATTAAGGACCGGAGGAGTATAAAATTTTTATTAGTCTTTGTTAAAATTACATGCACCCCGTTTTTATTTTACAGCTAATATAAACTATTTTAAACGTGGCTGAAATTGTATTATTCAGATCTTTTATCAATTTTGAAAGCCCACACAAATCCATCTTTGAAGCATGTCTAACCAAAATCCAAATTGGAAAGCGTAAGAATAAAATCGACATTTATTTTTATATTTAATAGAGTCATATATGAAGTTTGGAATTTAAAAAAAAAACTTAGTAATATAATTTTAACAAAGTTCAAAAACTCAGAGATCTTGATTTGTTTATATTTTTAAACTAAAATTTTAATTTCATCACTGAAAACTTTTTAAATTTTACATTCTTTTCAAATTTCGACCCCTCAAATACAAATTAATCTCAACAAAAAAATAGCCCTATTATTTCTGATCACTTACTAATTTAATATTAGTCAATTTCTTAAAGAGGATATACGGGTACTTCATATTTTGGCTAAGTTATATACTTATTTGTTGGCAAAAATTGTTACATATTTATTTATTTTCAATTATTTTTAAATATTTTTTAAAAAAATTGAAAAATCGCGACATAATGGATGGAAAAGGTTTCTATTGAATATATCACAAAGCACTTTTTAAAAGAAATGTATAGCTCTTATTATAATTAATAAGTAGGGTGTTAATTATGTTTTTCCAAAATTTGTTTCTTTTTAATTTTTTTGATACATTTAATGAGTTGACGGGCTCTTCTTAAATCTGCATATCTATCCAGTAGTAATACAAATTAGAAAATAGAAAGAGAAGGAATTAGAAGGAGCATATTTAAGACAGCGTCCGATTTCCACTCGGCTGTCTGACGCGGAGCCTCAGCTTCGAGCCGATTTGCCAACTTGTTAATATAATAGTATTTATAAGATTAATTAAAATTACACGTAATTAATAGGACTAGCTGTAAGATAAAAGCGCGGATTAAATGAACGCTACCTTTCTTTCTTTAATCTGTAGGCACAAAAGTTTCAGTTAAAGGCTCCCCCTCCTAATTTTATTACTAGCTCGAGTTCTTAATATAAGACTTGTTTAAATTTTATTTTGATCTTAAATATAAGATCTCAATTCTTTTTGTCTCTTATATTTAAGTATTTTTTAAGATAATTCTTTTAACAATAGTAATTCTAACTAATACATTTGATTAGTAAGAGTATTTTAGAAAAGATAATACCTATTTATTACAAATAACTAACTTAACTTATTTTTTAATCTCTTCAAATTAATCAACTACGTCTTATAATTAGAATAGGAAAAAATAATTAATTATCGTATTAAAAAAAGGGAAAACAAATATCATGGCATTTAATATAAGCCTGTGAAACCAGGATTGCCAGCCCGAAAAGGTTTGTCTCTGTTCACGGTGCTTCCTCTCTCTCTCTCTCTCCCCCCCCCTCTCTGTGGGCAAATCTCACGCAGAACCCGAGAACAACCCTCACATCAAGGCTTTTCTCCGGCAGAATTCGCCGGAAGTTCTGCAACGGTTCAGCTGCAATGTGGAGCTCACGTTGTTTCTTTCCTCTGCTCACTCTGTTTCTTCTTCACTCGGTGGTGGCTCTGGTCTCTGCTCAGGGATCTACCAGAGCCACTTGGAAGACACTAAGTGGTATGTGCCTTGTTTTACTTGGATTTTGGTTCTGTTTTCTTCCCGATCACGATGTTCAGGGTGTTTCTGCTTGGCTGCTTGAGTAATGCATGAAGAGTAGGTGAGATTGAGCTCGCTGTGTGTTTGTGCTTGCTCTTGTCCATTATGGCTCTTGGTTTAGGGAGAATGAGAGGTTCTTCTAAACTGAATATGCATTACTCTGTTCTTGGTATGGTGATTGCACGGGTTGATTAAGCAGCGTTGAGGAGAAATTATTCTGTACTTGTCTACCAAATGGAAGATCTTCTCATTTTTTGCTTAACTTCGATGATTTTTGGTGGGGAAAGCAAATTTTTTGACGCTGATCAGTTGAGATTTTGTACTGTCAACGCATTAAGCTGGCCTTTTTGCGGGCTGTGCTACCGGCCAGAAGTTAAGTGTTGCGCAAAGAAAGGATCGATGATTCTTCAGTTGAGTGTGAAAATCATATTTGGAACCTTGAGCTGAAGAATAATGCTTCAGCGGTGATATAAGGATTTCCAAATTAAGTCTGCTTTTGATGTTGGTTTTACCCGGTTCAAGTTTTATCAGATGTGATTACATCTTTCGTATATTAATAATACATATATAACGAGGTGAACAAAACTCGTAGTTTTATAAGTTCGTTATTTATCAACAACTATTAGGAACTGCTTTCTAGATAGTTAATGGACTGTTTTGTATTTTGCAATTTCAATTTGTTGGACTATTTAGCAAAAGTGGAGAGGCATGGGTCTATTATAGTCTCTCGTTATTTTTTATTTCTGATACCACGGCATTATGTTTGAAAACGTCAGTACTTGTATGAATCATTCTCTCTTTCCATGATTTCATTTTTGCCTTCATTTATTTAAGGATGAAGGAGGCTCAATCATCTGTTTGTTTTGCAGGAAATCCACCATTAGTCATAGCACGTGGGGGATTTTCGGGGATATTTCCTGATTCCAGCCTAGGTGCTTACAATTTGGCACTAATAACAAGCGTACCAAATGTCATTTCATGGTGTGACGTGCAATTAACAAAAGATAGCGTTGGGATTTGTCTTCCAGATGTCAAACTTGACAATGCTACTGACATTGCTGGCATTTTTCAAAATAAATCCACCACTTACTTGGTTAATGGTGTGCCGACACGCGGATATTTTTCAGTGGATTACGCAATAAAGGATCTATCTCAAGTTGCTTGTAAGTTTAAAATTTTCTTAAATGTATTACTTAAACTTTTTATAATTCTTGTACGGAGGATGTAAGCAAAAGAACCATTTTAGGGATGATTAGAGAATAATTCTTATATTTAGAATTCTTTGATACCTGACATTACCTTAAGGAAGGAAACTGTCATAATTTGTTTTTGGTTCTGCAGTACGGGTATTTTGCAGTTAACTTACTAATCATCTGAGTAATATAGAAACGAGACATTAGATAAGCTGAGAGCGCAGGCCTAAATATAGCATTCTTCATTATCAAATTGTCAAATTCCTGAAATTGGAGGACACTGGGACAAAAAACCTCCTATTCTTTAGCAAACAAGCCTTTCTCAAGTAAAGATTTATAACGTAATAATTATCTGAGCCTAGCCATTAGACCATATCCCAAAACACTGGGAAATTTTTTCCTTCATTGATTTCAGCATTTTGAAAGCTAAGTTACAGTTGCTGTCTCATTTAGTCAGTCCTCCATTTTCTTTTCCTTCTTTTTTTCCTTAAAGGAAACGGGTTCTAAGCTGACCTTTGACTAGTAATGCTTTCTAAGTCAATAGGGTTTTATGTTATAATGGAGGTGATATATTCTATGATTAGATTGAAACAAGGGCTTTTGGATGCTGGTACATCAGACTCATATACTTATTCTCTTCTCATTACACTTGGTGAAACTTGATCCATGACCTTTTAAGCCAAAAAGCCTTCCCCACCGAGGGTAATGGGCAATAGCTATAAGACTACTTATGACAGTTAGAAGCTAAAATCTTTTTCACTATATTAAATAATCAAATGGCCACATGCAAGCTTGTTTTCCACGTCTTAATGAGAGACTGTATCCTTTTCAATAAGTTGTTGACATACTGTATAGAGTTTCTAGAAATATCTTGGTTTGACTGATCAGTTGTAATTTCTTATGGCTTGACTATCTTGCTTATGAGTTTTGCTATGTTTTTCTTAATGATGATGCTTTGTTGTTACTGGACAGTGACTCAGGGAATCTATTCTCGAACTAACAAGTTTGACGGTAATTTATATCCAATTTTTACTGTCGAGGAACTTGTTAAACAAGTTGACCCACCAGTCTTGTGGTTGAATATTCAGGTAATAGAAGGAACATTTCTATTGTCATCATGTAGTCTCTGTTTTTTCCCCAGTATTAGTATCTGCTTGTTTTCTGAGTCAATTCTTGTTTTCATTGATATATTGCAGCATGATATGTTCTACTCGCAACACAATCTGAGCATGAGAAACTTCGTACATTCTGTTTCTAGAAAAGTAGTCGTCAAATATATCTCATCACCTGAAGTGAGTTTCCTAAGAGGCATAGCAGCACGCTTTAACCCCAATATAACTAAACTGGTCTTCAGATTTATGGGACAGGATGACATGGAACCATCAACCAATCAGACTTATGGCACACTTCAGAAAAATCTTACATTTATCAGGACATTTGCTTCTGGAATTATCGTTCCCAAGAGTTACATATGGCCTGTAGATGCCAGTTCCTATCTACAGCCACATACAACTTTGGTTTCAGATGCTCACAAAGCAGGACTGGAAGTTTTTGCATCAGATTTTACTAATGATATTCCAATTAGCTATAATTACAGTTATGATCCTCTTGCTGAGTACCTTCAGTTCATTGATAATGGTGACTTCTCTGTTGATGGTGTGCTCTCTGACTTTCCTATAACTCCATCCGAAGCTGTGGGTAAGTTATTTTCACTTTTATGGTCAGAATGGCTGTTATTAATAGTAAGCATTTGCTTTATTACTATTACTATTGTTTTTATAACAAAATCTTGTCGATGTTGGTTTTCTACTTAGTGATATTGTTGTCCATTGAAATGATGCTTATGTGATTAAAATGACCTCTTAAATTTTCCTAATGTCTTGACCTAGTGAACAGTGTAGTGTTACCTTAAATATATGTCTCCCATGTAATAAACCTTCTCTTCGCGCTGATATTTAGTCAGTATGGAGCTTATATACATTTGAATCCCGAAAGCCTATTGTTAGAGGGGTGCGTAATCTCAAAATAACTGTGAATATTCATGAAATTAACATTATTAAAAAAAGTTCATGAAATTAAGGATCCCATGCAAGCTTGTAAGCTTTTCCAACTGTTTTTTCCCTTTAAAATCAATTTTAGCACGCATGAACATCTTATAAAAGTAAGCATCTGACATTAGCTGCATGTGTATTCTATATACCTCGCCAATTGTTGCCTCAGAATGTGTTTGTGTGTTTGTTCTTTGCACAAGTATTGGCAAAATTTTGGTTGTTGATATGAACAAGATTGTCTTGGAGGTATCTGATTCTCTTAAATTGCAGGTTGCTTTGCTCACCTAAGTGCAAATGCTACTAAAACAGGTGCATCACTGTTTTTCTTGTGCTTTATTGAATATGTAGTCTCATTTTTTTCATTAGTATTTTCCAAATTCTTTCATTGCATAATTTCTGTAGCAGTGTAGCTTGTGTCATCATTGACTTCTTTCTTTGTTTCTTGTTTACCTTTTTATTTCAGTTAACATTTCGGTTATCTCAAAATTTGGGGCAAGTGGAGACTATCCTCCTTGTACTGACTTGGCATACAACAAGGCCATATCAGATGGCGTGGATGTTCTTGATTGTCCTGTTCAGCTGTCAAAAGACGGAATACCATTTTGCCTAAGCTCCATAGATCTCATAGAGAGCTCAACAGTTGCTCAATCAAGTTTCAGCACACTTGCCACATCTATTCCTGAGATCAAGTCTGGCAGTGGCATATTTTCATTCAGTTTGAGATCAGATGACATTAGGACCTTGAAACGTAAGTAAGAAAAAGTTCCTTATTAATTGCTCTGGTTAATAGTCTGGCAGCTTTCCCTCCGAAAGAAAAAGGAAAAAAAAAAAGAAAAGAAATAAATTCCTCCCTTTAGGTCATGGGGCGCCTCAGCAAATGGATTATAATTCAAATAAGCTAAACTTTATGTTATGTGAAAGATATGCAGTGTGCACAACATAGCAAATCATTTATCATGTATAACTGGGAAAATGGCCTTACTATTTAATAGATTACAATAATGGGAGATATAGAACATGAAATGATGTATATTTCATTTTATCTTTTGATAATGCACCATATCCATCTTGAAAGAAATTTCGGCCTTTTTGGCATCCTAAGTTCTTTTGTTACTGAAAAGATGCTTCTCATGAAATTTCTGTTTTTGTTCAGTTTTCTGTCTGGTATATGCGGCATTTGCTTTCTGATATTGACCAGGAAAGTATGTAAATTATTCTCAAAAATTTTGAAATTTGTGTTTATAAGTTCTCTATTTTTCCTGCAGCCTCAATATTGAATCCATATGCAAAATACACATTGTTCAGAAATCCAAAAAATAAGAATGCTGGGAAGTTTTTGACATTACAAGATTTCTTGTCCTTGGCAAAAAATCAGACTTCTCTATCTGGTGTCTTGATCACTGTTGAGGTGAGTTCTGCCTTGCCTATTGCTGCTGCTGTCCATGATTCATTCCATTAGTTATAAATAATATGAACAAGTAATCTGACTGTGGTTGGAGAGTAATCATTCTTGCTGCAGTTTGAAATGGAAAATTTGTGGTTTGTTTTCTATGTATTATGATTACGGTCATGTACAAATTCAGACACATTATTTTCATCACTTTTTTCATTGATGTTACTCTGTGTTAATTGTGATCAGATTTGTACTGTCTGACATTGTGATGATGGAACTTTGAGCTGATGACATTTCTTACGTGTAATGATAATTTCATTGTTATTGTTAATGCATTAACAAATTCAAGGCTATAGGAAATACAGTAGTGACATGTTCAAATTTTGTTTAGTGTTATTTGGCTGATTGCCCCCGAGATTTCAAAATTTGGGGAAACAAGAGCCCGAAATATTCTTATATTCGCCCAGTTGCAAGCAAAAATAGGAATTTGAATCTGCATATCTTAATTTTGTTATTGAAGTAAATGTAATATTTCACTATTTAGTGCTTCACTTGTACTTTGGCCATGCAACTCTCTCCGTTGAAGCCTTCAACAATGCAAGATTCTTTTGAACAACCATGTTCATGTGAGTTTTACTCATATTTGTTCTAGTCCCAGAGAAGAACTATGGTTCCTATTCACAAAGCTTATTTCATGGAGGTGAATAATGATTTTGTTCTTAACTTGGGCTTAATTTCATCACCTTAAGATGACAAATAATGATGTTTGCTTAACCTGCAAAGAAATGAAAACAACACGTGTGCCCACAATGTTATTTTGTTTTGTTTTCTTGTATCCACTACTAATTGACATTTCTGTTTTCACCCAAAAAAAAAAGAAAAAACATTGACATTGCTGTGTTCCTCTATTATCAGCACGCAGCCTATCTTGCAGGGAAGGCAGGACTAAACGCTATCGATGTAGTCCTTAGTGGTTTGAGCAAAGCTGGTTATGATAAGCCAGGGGCACCAAAAGTTTTGCTTCAATCCTCTGATAGCTCTGTACTAAAGAAATTCAAGGGTAAATCCAAATACGACCTTGTCTATCACATTGATGAGGACGTTAGTGATGCGGACAAGGCAGTTGTTGAAGAGATCAAAGGCTTTGCGGATTCTGTGGTTGTTGCAAAGTCATCTGTGTTTCCTGAAAACTCCGCCTTCCTGACTGGCTCAACCAAAATTGTGCAAACGCTAAAATCTTCTGACCTTGCTGTCTATGTAGAAATATTTAACAATGAGTTTGTATCACAGGCCTGGGATTTCTTCTCTGATGGCACTGTAGAGATCAACTCATTTGTTCAGGGAGCTGGTATTGATGGTGTCATCACAGGATTCCCAAAGACAGCTAATAGATACAGAAGTAAGTGCTATGGTTATATGAGTAGTCTTGCTCAAAGTTTACATGAAAAATTAGTGACATCAGACAAAAAAATTTGTCTCCTCGTCCTAAAATTACTGGTATTGTTTGGATTGCTTGTTTGATTAGTCTTTTTTATACACGGCTTTGTCATGCCAATTCGCTGGCCTTCTCTGCTAGCATAGCTGTAAAATTCATATAATACCTGGCATTTTGGTACATTGGTATTTCATGTCATTTGATTTCTTGAACTTCATGGAATTAAGATACCAATGGCATAAGATGCTAAGATGTCTAAGATAATCATGTTTGGGATGGCAATGGATGAGATTTCATATTAAAAGGATTTTTAGATTTCCATGTTTAATTGCAGATATTAGCCACTGTTACTTCTTAAATTGCCAAATACAGAGTCTTAGACAAGGGAAAAATTATTGACTGGGAAAAAAAAAGAAAAAGGAAACCGACAAGGCGAACAATTTGTAATCTGAATTCTCCAAGGCTCCTTTGATATTTTCGCTCTCATGTTGGCCAGATGTGATACTTGGGTGTTATCTTTTAGATATCAAGATGTTTTAATGACATAATAGCCTATAGGTATCAAATCCAATCAAGTTTTTTATGCCAGGACCAAGATATTGACTCCTTTTTAACTTGATCACTTTGTAATTTTGTTTTTGTTTGTTTATAGTATATTAAGTTGATTCATTTCAGTTACTGACATGGTTTTTCTTCATCCTATTGTAGGGAATCCTTGTTTGGCAGCTAAAACTTCACCTCCTTACATGCAAGCCGTTAAAGCTGGTGATCTTTTACAAGTTGTTACCAAAGACTACCTGCCACCGGCCGAGGCTCCTCTCCCACCCCTGACAGAATCTGAAGTGTCAGAGGCACCTTTGCCTCCTGTTTCAAATACAACGGCCAAGGCTCCTGCCTCTGCCTCCGGACCAGGGACGTCTCCACCCGGCAATGCACAGCCGAAGGTTAACATCTGCTTCTTTTTGTCCATTTTAGCTGTGCTTGTCTCTTTCCTTCTGCTCCTTTAAGTGTTGAGATCTGCCGACAGTCTGGGAGAAAGCCCAAAAGAAAGGAGAGAGAAAGAAAAAGTTGTCCGTGCTTGTTTTGGTTCCCTACTCTTTCCTGCATTGAGTAGCCCGAAGTTATTCTGCTTCAGACTGCATTTAACATTCCAAGTTTTTTTCCCCCTTAACATGAGTATATTCTTTCCCATAATTGTTGTAGCTTAGGTATGCTTATCTTTCCTCTTGTATGAACACAATTTGTGTATTCTTTTCAGATGAACCTTTCGTTGTAAGATACTTTGTATTTATTTGTGTGTGAATTTGATATTACATAAACATGTGGAATTTTTCCTGGGAGGGTTCCTTAGTTTCTTGTGCCAACAGAAGTAGAGATTTTCTTATTATCAATTCATGGCCAGAAAACCGGAAAATCGTAAGAAGGCAGTTTCCTAGTAATTCTAAATGATCTTACATTGTTAAATTTATTTTTAAATGTATTTTCTTTAATGTTTTTTTATGACAATCTTTTATTTTTATTGCCTTTTAAGTTTCAAACATAGTCTCACTTGAATACACATGACTTTATACCTCAGTTTGTCTTGAATTAGAAATGAGCAGGAAATATGGCCATACGTGAGAAACTTGACATAATGAATACAAAAAATTTGATATGAATATTGTCCTACATTAAGGGTGTGTTTGGATGAAACCAAACCGTGGTTTGGAAAAATGATTCTGGAAAATAGATTCTGGGAAGAATAGATTCTGTGAAGGATAGATTTTGTAAAAAAGTGATTCTGAAAAGTGAGAGTGTTTGGATAGTTGTTATCAGAAGCACTTTTTGTATATACAAATTACTATAAAAAAAAACATAAGTTAATATGATAATTACAAAAAAAATAGATTTTATGATATATTTTAATTTGAAGGAATAAAATTGTTAATAATATATTTTTTATTAACATAATTAATAATACATAAGATGATATAATTAATAAATAATTAATATGTATATATATTTTTAAAATATAAGATTAAATATGTTTATAAAAAAATATGTTTATAAAAAAAATAATAAGATACATATCCTATAGGCTCTCACACTCTCCTTTTTTTCTCCAAAAGCAAAAAAATTTTGCTTTTTCCAAAACCATGGTTTTCCAAAACCATGGTTTTGGTCCAAACCACGGTTTGCCCAAAACTAGTGGGTGTTTGGGTGACTTATCACCCAAACCATGGTTTGGGTCCCCAAACCATGGTTTGGGGTGTCACCCAAACGGGACCTAAATGTCTTTTGTTTTGCGGTTTTGGGTCAAGCAATAAGGCTAAGGTTTTATCACTCTGGTCCTATACGTAAGCTATTTGTTTGAAAAAAAAAAGTTTGGTCTTAAGTATACTTACTTGTAGAATAATTAATGACATTGTTTTCAATTTTACCCATGTTGAAGAATACAATAAAAGAAACTGGTGAGAGAAATGTGAATACAATATATCACATAGTTTTTTTTTCCCCATATCTTTTCTTTTAGGCTTTGTTTGGTTGGGGTTTTTTTGGAGGAGGGGAGGGGAAGGGAGGAGGATGGGAGGATGTGTTTGGTTGGGGGGAGGGGAGGGGAAGGGAGCTAAAAAAATTTGTCCTTTTGTGCCCCCCTCTCCTCCCCTCTTCCCTTCCCAAATTGGGGGTTTTTGAAGGGGAGAGAAATATTATGAGAATCTTGACAAATATACCCATGCCATTTTTTGAATATTCCAGTGGTGTCCTCTGGATATTTTTTTGGTTTCGCATGATTACCTTCGTATTTCCTTTCACGGTCACTCAGTTATACACACACACAAAAATATAATATGCATATATGTTAATATATTAATTAATTATATATATTAATATATATTATAATTATAAAATGACACTGTTAATATCATTTTTTTTTATTTCCTAATATGTGGAGGGTATTATTATATAGTTAAGGTCTTGTTTTTTTTTTCTCCCATTCACTTTTCTCATATATATTATACTTTTATTTCATAATTTTTTTATCACATATAAGTGAGGTAATTGGTTTTTTTGAAATTGATAAATTAGGAAATAATAATTTTGATATAAATATTATAATAAAAGAATAAATCAATCTAAATATAAAGATAAGGGCATATTTGTCAATTTATAATCCCCTCCCCTCCCCTCCCCTCCCCTTGTGAACCAAACAAGAAATCTCCCCTCCCTTCCCCTCTCCTCCCCTCCAACCAAACAAAACCCATGACCTCTCCTCCCCTTCCCTCCCCTCCCCTTCCCTTCCCTCTATTGAACCAAACAAAGCCTTAATGGAGGAAATGTGAAAAATTTTATTAATTGAATGCATTCCTTAATATGGGAGAATGAGGGGTACAAATGATTTGTCTATAGAATTAGAGTGATATATATTTTCTCACAATTTTTTTCGCCATCTATTTTCTCACATAATGTAACGAAGAAGAAAAGCTAGCTGAAATGTCTCCAAGTTTGAGGTGGGAAAATTGATAACTCAACAAGGACAAAATTTTAAGATTAAGAGCATAATTCAAGTGAATTTGACTCAATTAACACTTATTACCTCTTTAGCTCTTGCTTAGGCGTGATATGTATTCGACTTTTCATGGGTGTAATGGGTGTGGCTGAATTTCTTTCTGAGTAAATGATGACAAAAAAAAGAAAATGCAAAAAGGTTATTGTCCTCGTTTCTACTTGTTTGGATCAAATGAAGATGTTTGCCCTTGAAGGAGGCATTGTTTGATCAACGTGTGAATGAAATAGTTAAATGAGCTTGCATTAGGATGCGTTGATGGCCCAAAAGACAAAATTCAATTTCAGTGATGCAATTATAATATTTTAAATTTAGTATAATCTCACCCTTTTTTTTATTCAGTTAAAATCACTCATCCTTTTATTCATCTTAACAGTTAAAATTAACAATTTTGATTCCTTTTATTAAATGATTAATAACTTTCATATAAAGTACCCAAATTAAAACCACATTTAAAAAACTGAAAAATGTGTTAAATTGTACCAAATTGAATATATGGTGGGAAAAATTATACTACTAAAAAGACTAGGTAATTGGTGTGTTTGAGAAATAAGATGAGGATGATGAGTGCATATTTACCTTATATTGTGCATGTATATTCAACCAACAAGGATTGGGTTTAACAGAAAAAGTTAATCCTTTATAATGCGATGAATCAATATTCAAATTTTCACTGAGAAAAATGTCCATATTTAGTAACCGACAATGCCTCAAATAAAATTGCATTTGATAAGGGGATACGCGTGCTTAGCAAAAACAAAATATATATGCATATTCAAAAGGGAGAATAGCCACACAAAAAAAACCTTGAAATAACAAAATGGCAAAATGGACACTTGAATAAGGGAAATTACTTAGAGGGATTGGGTCTTAAATATAAATTATGAAATATTGGAGAAAAGATCAATGTATCCCTTTCTTTTTCTTTTTCTTCCATCTCATTCTCTCTTATTCTCTTTCCTTCTCCTCTCCTTCTCCTACCTCTTCCTTCTCTTTTTCTTTCTTCTCTTCCTTACCAACGCTCATGATTCTTGTTTTGCCAACTGTGTCATTTTATTTTTGATTTTTTTTATCGTTAAGGAGATGAACCCACTTAAAATTTCTTGATGAATATGTTGGTTTATACTTGTTCTTACTGTAATGCTGGAGTTGAAGGTGTTTTACATACTTTAAGGGGACTGTGAGCACGCTAGAAGCTTGTGGCAGCAGGTGGCGAGGTTCTTCTTTTGTTGCCCAACCGCTTGAATGGTTTGCCATGAATTTAAAAAGAGAACCTGGAATTAATGTAGATGGGTGGCCATGGCATTTGCTTTGGGGAGTAGCTATCTGGAAGTTATGGATTTGGACAAGTATTAAAAAACTTTTCACATTAGTTTAAGTTTTTTGATATTATTTCAACAATTTTATTGTCAATAACAAATCTAGTAGGAAAAATAATAAGTTTTGAAAAGTTATTCATATTAACTTAAGTTTTAGAAGAAATTGATAATATTTCAACAATTTTATTACTAATGACAAGTCTAATATCGAAATAATAAGTTTTGAAAAACTATTTATATTAATTTAAGTTTTAGTAGAAATTGACATTATTTCAATAATTTTATTGTCAATAACAAATCTAATATAAAAAAAATAATAAGTATTGAAAACCTGTTACATTAAATTTTAATCTAATGTGATTTGATCATGCCTAAATTCAATACTATTTCATTAATTTATTAATTAAGATATCGTGAATAATTATGATAAATAGATGATAATCAATATTTGATGCAATCGGAGGCAGCTATGGAGAACCCTCTACACATGCCCATCAAATCTCTGGTGCGTTAATTTATAAATTATATAGATTAGAAATACTTTTTATAAATTATAAATAGTATAATGAGTTGTATAGATATATATTAAAAAGTGTTTTTTTGGTTAAAATTAAATAGATTAAAAATACTTTTATAAATTATAAATAGGTGATTACAAGTTTAAAATAGGAAACTATAAGTTTGAAATAAGAAATTACAAGTCTGTAATAGAAATTAACAAGTCTAAAATAGAAAATTATAAGTTTGAAATAAGAAATTATAAATTTACATTAGAAAATAATAAGTCTGTAATAGAAAATAACATGTCTAAAATAAGAAATTATGAGTCTGAAATAGAAAATTATAAGTTTGAAATAAAAAAATTACAAGTTTTAAATAGGAAATAACAAGTCTGAAATAGAAATTTGTAAGTTTAAAATAGGAAATTATAAGTTTACATTAGAAAATAACAAGTCTGAAATAGAAATAAATAAATTTAAAATAAGAAATTGCAAGTTTGAAATGAAAAATAATAAATTTAAAATAAAAAATAACAAGTCTAAAATAAGAAATTACAAGTCTACATTAGAAAATAACAAATCTAAAATAAAAAATTATAAGTCTACAATAGAAAATAACATGTCTAAAATATGTAACTAGAAGTCTACAATAGAAAATAATAACTCTAAAATACGTCAAAAGAGTTGACTTCATTGCTCATCTCTTCAACTTTTCAGAAAATATCAAAATGTAGAAAGCTCTGGGAAAATAAAATCAAAGAAATTCAAATAAAAACAAACTCAAAGAAAGCTCATGAATTATTTTCAGTTGTCTTGTTCTCCCCTGACACCGACAAACATCATTTAGGAGTCGTTTGGTTCATTTCCATTACACCTCAGTAGTGCAATACAATGCAGCGCAATGGGAGTATAGTGTAATATTAATTACAGAGTTGGTGTTTGGCATGACTTTCTCGAGATGTAATAAACTAGTTTTTAATGATTATT